ACGCTGCGGGCCCACAGGCCCCGGCTGACCTGGGCCTGGCGGAGGCCCTGCTGTCCAGGGGTGCGGGGCCGGGCCCCAGGGTGAGCCCGCACAGGGAGCACCAGTTCTCTCCACCTCACTCCCCGGCCCAGGGAGGGCGGGTTGAGCTGATCGCAGTCAAGGGCTTACCCAGCCCAGAGCCAGGCCAAGCGATGGCAGCCTGCGCCACTGCGGCCGGCAAGGGGCAGAGAACAGGGGCCCGCCTCTCCGGGTAGCCCTCCTCGGGGGAGGAGAAAGCGGCTTTCTCGTTTGTCCAGTTGCTCATGGTTGACTCAGACTGGCTTCTGGATTTGGTGTTAAGAAGAAATTAACTGGCTTTTTATATGGTGGCAGTCAGTGCCAGGGTGTGAGAATTTGAAAACCTCCAAGTATTGTACCAACGTTTTTTATTCTCCCCACACATGGCTCCAGCCCTGAAGGACTTGAGAGTAAGCACTTCCTGAAAGCTAACCCTCGGTCAGGTTCTTTTCATCTGATCTCTCTCTTTTTTTAATTGATTTTATAGAGGAAGGAAGAGGGAGAGAGAAACATCAATGATGAGAATCACTGATTGGCTGCCTCCTGCACACACCCCCACTGGGACCAAGCCTGCAACCCGGGCATGTGCCCTGACCGGAAATTGAACCATGACCTCCTGGTTCATAGGTCCATGCTCAACCACTGAGCCAAGTCCCCTGGGCATTTATCCGATCTCTTAGTGAATTCTTTTAAGTCCTTATATCATTTTGGGAGGGTGTGTCGGTGAAGAAGTGACAGGAACTGGGTAGCCCCTAGAGAGGCCCATTTCAGAGCCTGAGCTGCCTTGCCGCTGTCATGCCACACTGAAGGGCCTTGATGGAGGTAAAGGCTCAGGTTCTTGCCCTGGTTGGTATGCTCAGTGGTTAGAGTATGGACCCCTGAACTGAAGGGTTGCAGGTTCAATCCCCCTCCCTGGTTGGTCGGGTTATGTGCCGGAGTCAACCAATCCATGTGTCTCTGTCACATTGATCTCTCTCTTCTCCCCTCTCCCCTCCCTCCCTCTCTCTCTACGAAAGAAAAAAAATCAATGGGAAAATATCCTAGGGTGAGGATGAACAACAACAAAAACTCAGGTTCCCTTCTTCTTCTCTGACAGGCTAAATAAAATTCCTCTCCTGGTGGCTCCCAAGGTTTTTTCCCTTGAGGAAAGCCCCTGGCCAGCCATCTGACTTCTTTTAATTCTGCCTTTCAGGCCTAAAGGGCGGTGGCCCCAGTGGTGGAAGCGGCAGTGGTGCTAACGGTACCTCCTTCAGCTACACATTCCATGGAGACCCTCATGCCATGTTTGCTGAGTTCTTCGGTGGCCGAAATCCCTTTGACACCTTTTTTGGACAGCGGAACGGGGAAGAAGGCATGGACATTGATGACCCGTTCTCTGGCTTCCCCATGGGCATGGGTGGCTTCACCAACATGAACTTTGTCCGCTCCCGCCCTGCCCAAGAGCCCACCCGAAAGAAGCAAGACCCCCCTGTCACCCATGACCTTAGGGTCTCCCTTGAAGAGATCTACAGCGGCTGTACCAAGAAGATGAAGATCTCCCATAAAAGGCTGAACCCCGACGGGAAGAGCATTCGCAACGAAGACAAAATCTTGACCATTGAAGTGAAACGGGGGTGGAAAGAAGGGACCAAAATCACCTTCCCCAAGGAGGGAGACCAGACCTCTAACAACATTCCAGCTGACATCGTCTTTGTTTTAAAGGACAAGCCACACAATATCTTTAAGAGAGATGGCTCTGATGTCATTTACCCAGCCAGGGTCACCCTTCGGGAGGTAAGGCACTAGACAGAGTGTGTCTGGAGAAAAGGCTGCTTTTTGACACATACTTGTCTGTTTGACAGATAGTTTTGAGCTCTTGGTGTCTGTTAGATTGGGGGGTGGGGGAGGCTTAAGGGGGGGCACCAGGTACACAGCTTATCAAAACTCCATTTTTCTGGAGCTTCCATGATGCTGACCTGGGGGCAGAGTCTTAGTTGCAGAGGCCTGATGGCTCTTACCCTACCCCAAACAGCCTCTGGGCTGGAGTGGAGCTTCCTAAGTTATACCCTTTACCTAATGCTGTCACTTTGCTTTTCTAAGGCTCTGTGTGGCTGTACTGTGAATGTCCCCACTCTGGACGGCAGGACCATACCCATCGTGTTCAAAGATGTCATCAGGCCTGGCATGCGGCGAAAAGTTCCTGGAGAAGGCCTCCCTCTCCCCAAAACACCCGAGAAACGCGGGGACCTCGTTATTGAGTTTGAAGTGATCTTCCCTGAAAGGATTCCCCCGACGTCAAGAACCATACTTGAGCAGGTTCTTCCAAAATAGCCACCTGTGTTCCCCAAGGACTGACCAGGGACCTTTCCAGAGCTCAAGGATTTCTGGACCTTACACCAGTTGTGGACCCGTGAGAGGGCGGGAGGGCCCAGGGAGGGCTTTCGTACTGCTGAATGTTTTCCAGAGAATATATTACAATCTTTCAAAGTCGTGCACTAGACTTCAGTGGTTTTTCGAGCTGATAGGGCGGTAGGTGGTGGTGACAGCAGGAGAAGGCGTTCCAGCTTGCCCCACTGGGTTCTGCAGCCCTCCTGGGATGGGCCCACCCCTCCTCCAGGCCCTGCCCAGGGCCGAGAGGCAGCCCTGCAGCTGGACTGGAGCCCTCTGTCATCCCTTTGCTGCGGCCATTAGGTGATGGCAGACTGCTCATCCTGGTCACCACACCTTCCCTGTATCTGTATGCTCTTCAATTTGTTGTGTGACCAGTTTGTGTTTCCTTCTGTATTTGTCTCCCATGTCTTGCTCTTCCTGTGAAGAATCCCATCTTTTGCCATCTCAAATTGAGAACCTAGACTATTTTTGCAGAAAGGCCCGGCCTGCACCCACAAGCAATACCTCTCATTCCAGCAGGACCAAGGGAGCCAGCCTCAGAGTGACTTGCACAGCCACCTCTCCCTCGAGAGCCAGGAGCCCTTTTCAACCTCAGGCTCCGAGGCCAAGTGTGCTCACTGAAGGGTCTTTTCCTTTAAGGCAATCTTTGGCACACTGGGCCTTCCCAGTGGCCCGGGACATGCTTTGTTTAATGGACTCTGGACTCTCAAAAGGATCTGATCCTTTTGAATTTTGCACAGCCCTAGATATAATCCCTTTTGATAAAAGGGTCTTTGCTCCTGATTATAGGAGCACTGTGGGACGTCTGTAAATACGTTTTTATAATTCCATGTAAAGTTGGTGTACTTTCAAATGAAACCAGTCCATGGCAGCTGCTGCTCTCTGTACAGGCCTGCTCAGACTTTTAGACTCATTGTAAGTTGCCACTGCCAATACAAGACCAAAGTGTGTGACTTGTCAATGTGCAGCGTTAAAGACAGCATTAAAGTCTGATGCTAAACCTCAGGGGAGCAGTCCTGCGACTCTGTTTGAGGGCTCTGCTGACTGGGGCGGGGCTGTGTATCCATCCAGCGAGAACAGGAGGGAGGAGAGGCAGGAGTCCTGCCAAAGAGATAACTGTTCCCTCCTGGGCTCCATGTCGGTTGGGGAGTGTCAACTCACCCAGACTCTGCATCTAGATATCCAGACCCCACTGGATTCAGAGCTTATTTTTTTGTGAAGGTTGGGGCCAAAGTTAAGCATTTCTCCTTTCTGTCTTTTGGGGCCCAGGCGGGCAGTGCATGTTCTGTCCTCTTAATCCTCTTCCACTCCTTTCTTACTGGAACAGACTGGGTTGTTGGGCAGGCCCTGGCCAAGCCTGACTAGGACTCCAGGCCGGTGCTGGCTGCCTGCCCTGGAGAAGACCGCTTCCTGCTCTCCCTTCTTTTGCACACCACCGAGGCTGCTTTTACTCTGTAACTTTTTTTTTTTTTTAAGGGACTGGTTTTACTATAAGGTAAGTAATTATACAGGCTGGAAACAATGTATTGCTACTTAGCTACAAAAAAGTCAGTAAAAATAACACCATATTAAAGTCAACCTAGGAGTGGCTTTCCCTTCCCACTAGAGCAATTTAGCCACTGAGAACAGTCTGGGAGCAGCACTGTCCAAGAAAACTTTATAATGAAGGGAATGTTCTGTGTTTAAATGGAAATTAAATTCAATAACATTAAAAACTCAATTTCTCAGTCTCTCCAGCCACATTTTAAGTCCTCAGCAGCTGCACGTGGTTAGTGGCAACTATTGAAAAGCACAGAACTAGAATTGAGAGCTTTTCACCCAAATCTAGGACAGGTCTCTTCTTAAAAGAGCAGCCACATTGAGCCATCCTAGTTGGGAAGTGACCCCAGATAGAACCAAAAAGGACCTCATCACGAGATGTTTACTGAACTGCCTCAGGCACCAAGAAGACATTTAATGCAGAACTGAACTTGGCTGCAGACAGGGTCACCATCCACAGTGCTGCCAACCCCCTGCCCCCAGTCTCCATTATCCGGAAGTGCACAAAGCCTGAATGTGCACACAGTAATGGGAACTTCCAGAAACAACCTACTGAGGGTGTGGGTGGGGCAGTGATTCTTCAGAGTAGTGATCATGGTGAAAAAAAGACTCAAGTGGAAAGAAAACCTGCTTTTCAGGTTTGCACTGTTTTGCGCATGCTGGACCTGGATGTGTGTGTCCAGAGATGTTTGGTGGGTCCATTAGCAGACCACTTCCTGGGCTGCCCTTTAGGGATTCATTTTCCTGTTCCCATGCTGCCTCTCGGCACGTTTTGGAGTTCCTGGCCTGTCAGGACATGCAGAGCTTCCCCTCTGACCCACCTCATCTTAGTCCATTGTACCAGTAGTGTCACATTTCTGCATGATTTAAACAGTACAAAATTCAAAATGTTTATCAAGCCCGAGGTGAGGGGTCGAGTCCCCTCCCCACTCTGGGCCTGCAGCTCCCTTTCCCTTTGTGCCCGTATAGACAAACCATGGCATCAGAGATTTTATTTAAAAACATTTTTTTTGTGCATCCTCAGAGTGTGCTTGTATAACTATAATTTCTAAATTTGGGGTTCAGTTGTTGGCTGTGTAATTGAAATACCAAACTTGCAAGGGCACAGAGTGAGAATCCTCCCACCTTGCTATTTGAGTCCACACCAGCGAATATTCCCAGTGAGTGTATGCCTTCCCAGAGATGCTGTGTAAGTGCATTTTTCTGTTTTACACAAATGGTGCATACTGTACACTCTGAATTTTTTCCCCTACATAGTGTATGGTGGAAATAAAGAGTTTCCTCATTCCTTTATTCTGCCATGCCTACCTACATGGGAGTGAAGTTACAGGTCAGTGTTTGGTGGCCCCTTACTCTCCCCTAGCCATTGTTCCTGCTTCCAAGTTTCAGTTCCAGCTCAGCCACTTTCTACTGTGTGACCTTGGGCAAGTGACAACCTCTCTGTGCCTCAGTTTCTTCAATCTGTGGTTTCGCTTCCCACAGTTCAGTTAACACCAGTCAACCGCAGTCCAAAATGTTAAATGGAAAATTCCAGAAATAATTCGTAAGTTTTAAATTGCATGTCATTCTGAGTAGTTCAAGGAAGTCTTGTGCCAGCCTGCTCCATCCAGCCCAGAACTGAATCATCCCTTTGTCCAGCACATCCACACTATGTATGCTCCTCCCCTCCCAACCATTAGTCACTTAGTAGCCATCTTGATTATCAGATCAACTGTCATGGTATCTCAGTGCTTGTGTTCAAATAGCAATATTTTCCTTAGAAATGGCCCCAAAGTACAAGGGTAGCCATGCTGGCAATTGGGATATGCCACAGAGAAGCCATGAAGTGCTTCCTTTAAGTGAAAAGGTGAAAGTTTTCAATAACAGAGACCACATTAACATAACTCTATAGTGTTATAATTGTTAATCTCTGACTCTGCCTTATTTATAAATTAAACTTTACCATAGGTAGGTATGTATAGGAAAAAAAGTACATACAGTGTTTAGTACTATCTGTGGTTTCAGGCATCCACGGGGTTTTGGACTATATTTCCTGTGGATGAGGGGTCCTGGGACTACTGTAGTACCTCTTCTAGGGCTTAAAGTAGTTCTAGATACAGATACACCCCAGGGCCTGGCATAGAACAGGACTGTGCATCAGTTATTAGCATAACTACATGCTTATGTGAAGCTCTCTTAGCTCACAGCCTGGGGTGTGGCCCAGGTCTTTCAGGTCAAGTGTGCTTAGCTGAGCTTTTTTAAAAAAATGTTTTTAGCCGGTAAATTCCATTGACTTTTCAATCTGACAAAGAATTATGAGAGAGAATCAATGATCAGCTGCCTCCTGTACGCCCCCAACTGGGGATCGAGCCTGCAACCCTAGCATGTGCCCTTGACTGGAAGTGAACCTGGGACCCTTCAGCCCACAGGCCAATGCTCTATCCACTGAGCCAAACCAGCTAGGGCAAAAATTGTTTTTATTGATTTTAAAGAGAGAGGAAGGGAAGAGAGAAACATCCATTCGCTGCCTCCTGCACGCCCCCTACTGGGGATCAGGCCTGAAACCCCAGCATGTGCCCAGACTGGAAATGGAACTGGCACAGAGGAGGACATTCAACCAATTGAGACACACCAGCCAGGGCTTGGCTGAGCTTTAAAAACCAAATTCCCAGGAAAGTTGCTGAGACTCTCAGCTCGAGCCCTGGCCCCCCACCCAGCCCAAGAACACTGTATCTAAAGTAGGCTCACTCTCCTGTTATCTTGTTTTTATTTTTCATTGCGGGGGAGGGGGATTAATCTGGTTTTTTGTTAATCCTCATCTGAGGATATCTTTCCATTGATTTCAAGAGAGAGTGGAAGGGAGGGGGAGAGGCACAGAGAAAGAAACATGGACATGAGAGACACATTGATTGGTTGCCTCCCACACCTACCCCGACCAGGGCTTGGGATCGAGCCTAAAACTGAGGTGCCCTTGACTGGAATCAAACCTGGGACCGATTAATCTGGGGGCCAAACCAGTTGGGGCTCCGCTGCTATCTTGTGACAACCATGCTCACTCTACTCCTAGGCTGAGCCATCCTGGCTCTAAATCCTGTCTCTGCCACTGCTGCTGTGTGTCCTTGGGCAAGTAACTTTACTTCTCTGAGTCTCAGTGGCCTCCTTTGACAACCAGGGGCAATGAAAGTACAGACTTAATAGGGGTGTTGTGAAAACTGGGCGAGGCACTACATCGGGGCAAAAAACACGGCTAAGAACTTGGTTTCTAGAGGTTGGCTGTGCTGAGTTCAAGTTCTGCTCACTGCATTCCCCAAGAAAAACGACAAAACCTCTCAGAGCCTTGGTTTTCTCCCGTGTGAAACAGGACTAATCATAGAAGTCACCCCTTCTCACTTCCCAGAGCAAGCCTGACGGAGAGCAAGTGTGTAATTAACATGGACAGTCTTCCTAAAGCACTCAGCAGAAAGCCTGCCCCAGGTCTCCTTGAATAGTTACTAATTATTAAAGCACACAGCATAGTGCCTGCCTGACACATAATAAGTATTCATTCATTCAATATGCACTCATTGAGTACCTACTGTGTGTCCAGCCCTGTTCTTGATGCTAGGAACACAGCACTGGACAAAACTGGACAAAGTTCCTATATTTACAAGCTAACAGTCGAGGGGGGTGGTGATTAAGAGTAAATTAAGCATTAAATACATTAAATATGCTAGATAGTGCTGAGAGTGATGAAGAAAATTAAACCAAGTGGGTAGAGTGTGTTGGGCACAATTTTAAGTAACAAAGTCAGCAAATGCCTCACTGAGAAGGTGACATTTGAGCGAAGACTTGAAGGGGGTAAGGAAGAAGCCAAGTGGAGAGCGAGGGAATAGCATTCCAGGCAGAGAGCCAGCCTGTGCAAAGGTCCTGAGTTCGGAGCATGCCTGAGTTGTTTAAGGAACAGCCAGGAGTCCAGTGAGGCCACAGCAGAGTGAGTGAGGAGAGAGTGGGAGGAGGGGAGATGAGAGGAGGGAGGACAGTTGGGGGTGATGGGGCAAATGGTGCAGAGCAGGAGTGGGGGCGGGGGCTCAGGGAGAAGTTTGGCTTTTCCTTTGAGTGTGAAGGTTTTGAGATTGCAAAGTTTTTGGATTTTGTTTTCTCTTAATTTTCCTTTGCTGGGAGTGAGGAGGTGGAGTGTCATTTAATTTGTAAGAGAACTTCAAGTCCCTGAAATATGTCAACATCAGTCTCTTGAAATTTCAATGTACCAACCTTTCATCTTAAAATAGCACAACATAAACAATAAGCATCTATTAAAACCTCGTCCTTTGCCGAAACCGGTTTGGCTCAGTGGATAGAGCATCGGCCTGCGGACTGAAAGGTCCCAGGTTCGATTGGTCAAGGGCATGTACCTGGGTTGCGTGCACTTCCCCAGTGGGGGACCTGCAGGAGACAGCTGATCGATGTTTCTAACTCTCTATCTCTCTCCTTTCCTCTCTGTAAAAAATCAATAAAATATATTTTTAAAAAAATAAAAATAAAAATAAATAAATAAAACCTCGTCCTTAAAGTACAGGTACTCCTGTTCCCTCCCACAGACTTGACAACACTTCCATCGTCTGCTCATTCCACGCTTGTCCAAGATGAGGTGGGGAAGGGAGCCTGGAACTCTGTGACTATCTGGGCAGACATCTTCCCTCTTTGTCATGAGGGGAAGAGAGACAATCTGGGGAACACTCAAGAAGGTCCCCTTCCCAGAGCACCACGTTCCTTGAGGTCACCACCGTCTTTGCATCCCTAGTGCCCAGAGTGACACCTGGCCCAGAAGTGATCCTCTGAGTGTTTGTTGAATGAGTCACTGAGTGACAAAGTGACTCAGACCAGAGGGCCTGCAACATGTGTTCACATCAGGGAGTGTGCAGAGGAAGGACAGCCCCAGCCGGGGGTCTGCTGTGGTTCCCCAGGAAGGGCCCCCTCCTCCAGCTCCTTCAGCCCCTGCCCATCTGAGAGGAGTGGATGTTCTCTTTGGCTCCAGGAAAAGACCCTCTTTCCTGGGCCCTGCTCCTACTTCATGACTCGTATGTCCGTCCTTGGGCGCAGCTCCTTCCCGAGGGCCAGGGGAGCCGGGGAGCAACAAGCACAGCAGTCTTGTGAAGCTCACAGTCTTCTGGGAAATACAGACCTGGTGAAGCTCACAGCGTTCTGGGAAACACAGAGGGTTTAGTGTCCTGGGCTGCCACACGAAGCACCGCAAGCTGGGGGACTGACACCAAGAGGAGTTTATTCTCTCACAGTTCTGGAGGCCGGAAGTCCAAACCCAAAGTGTGCTCAGGCTGAGTGCCTTCTGGAGGCTCGGAGGGAGACTCGGTGTCAGGCCTCTCCCGGCTCTTGGTGACTGATAGCCATCATCGGCGCTCGTTGGCTTGTAGCTGGGTGGCGCTAATCTGTGCCTTGGTCTTCACATGGCCCTCCCCTCTGCTTGTCTCTGTGTTTTCTGTGTCTTACGGGGACAGATGTCACTGGATTCAGGGCCCACCCTAATCCAGAATAAACTCATCTCAAGATCCTTAGTTATGTCTGCAAAGACCCTTATTCTAGCCCTGCCAGTGTGGCTCAGTGGTTGAGCGTGGACCTATGAACCAGGAGGTCACTGTTCAATTCCAGGTTAGGGCACATGCCTGGGTTGTGGACTCTATCCCCAGTGTGGGGAATGCAGGAGCAGCCGATCAATGATTCTCATCATTGATGATTCTCTCTCTCTTCCTCTCCCTTCCTCTCTGAAACCAATAAAAATATATATTTAAAATATACGCAATCTCCTGGTTCGTAGCTCGATGCTCAACCACTGAGCCACACTGGGCAGGCTCAATTAAAAAAAAAAAAGACCCTCATTCTAAATAAGGTTTGGGGACAGGAACATATCATTTGGGGAGGGAGCATCATTCAGCCCATTTACACTGAGCAAGGCACTTCCTATGCCCAGAGAGCTTGGAGGGCAGAGGTCTGACAGGCCCTGGGCACACAGGCCAGGGGACAGGAGCTTGTTGGGGCTCAGGGGTGGGCCACTGGGCTGAAGTCCCATGGAGGAGGCCCCGAGGCACACGGGGGATGTGGATCCGGTAAGCCTGGGAGTGGGAGCCCTAAGGGCCTGGTGTGGTCTGAAGTGAGAAAGCAGGAGAGAGCAGGGTGGGGCATGCCCAGGTTTAAGACAGACAGGCAAGATGTCTGGGCCCTGCTGAGACAGGCCTGGGTGCCCCAGGCAGAGAAGCCAGTTCAAAGAGTTTGAGTCAGGAGGCACGCGGTGTGAGCTTCTTTTGCCGGGAAGTTGGCACTGGGACTTGGGTTGTTTGTCTCATTAGGGGCCCAACTTTCTTTGGGATGATTATGCGAGACATCAACATGGCCAGGCCTGACTCCAGATGAAATATTTCAGTGAAGAGTGTTTTGAGGGCACGTAGCCTCATGGTGGGGGGTGTGGAGGGGGCGTGATTAGCAGAGAAGAGAGGGGGGAAATCTGACTCACAGGTGCCCTCTGGCTGCTATGGAGGAAACAGACTTGGGGGTACAGCTAGGAAAGAGCTGGGAAAGCAGAGAGAAAGTCAACTGCTGGAGACAATGAGGCTGGACCAGGTGATAGGAAATGATTGGAGCTGTATTTTGAAAAGAGATCTGCCCATTCAGAAAATGGCATTGCTGGTAGATTTTATCTCGACATTCTAAAATCCTGTAGCCAAAGGTAGGTACCCAAGCTGGGGCTGAGAATAAGGCCACAAGACCTAGCCTAGTCAGGACCACCTCTTCTTCCCCTCCATGCCTGTCCTGCTCAGTCCAGTGCTGCCAGGCTATAAGGGGAGTCCAACCTACCGGCCACTAATAGCCAGGCAATCAAACTCTGAGACCAGTCGGCCAGGGCAATGTGCTTTAGCACCATCATTTCTCAGTCTGCTCTGTCCCCACATCTCAGAGCCAGGCTCAAATGAGGCAGATGAAACTCACACCCCCAGAGGGATGTCCCATGTGCTGGGGTTGGAGCTGAAGTGCCACACCATGAGTCTCTGTGCAACTCTGAGCCAGTGGCTCCCCCTCTCTGAGCCTCAGTCTTCTCTGTGGAATGGGGATAGTATCCAGTGGGATTACTCCTAAAAAGCAGTCAGCCTGGGGCCTGGCACACAGTAAGAGCTTAATAATGGTTTCTACTTCTATCATGTTTCTATTATGCCACACGGTTTATTCATTTCTGTACCCTCAATGCAGTTTAATAATTGCAGTGGGCTGAGCACTTACTACCTGCCAGAGCCACTGTAGGCATTTGACACAGAGTAGTTCATTTTATCCTAATATTATAACAACTTTAGAATTATTATTCCCATGTACTATGATGATGACCTTCATTTTACAGATGAGGAGATTGAGGCACATGGGGGAAGAGGCTCACCCAGGGTCACATAGCTGGTAAGCAGTGCAGGTTATGGAGAAATATGACTGTATCCTACCGCGCAACCCAAGTGGGATTAGAAATGGAATAAAGACACAGGAAAAGTAAAACCAGAGAATGAATAGAAGAAAATGAAGTAGAATACCCTTGTGCCCGGCTGGCGTGGCTCAGTGGTTGAGCATCAACCCATGAACCAGGAGGTCACAGTTCGATTCCCAGTCAGGGTACATGCCTGGGTTGAGGGCTCTATCCCCAGTGTGGGGTGTGCAGGAGGCAGCTGATCAATGATTCTTTCTCATCATTGATGTTTCTTGCCCTCTCCCTTCCTCTCTGAAATCAATAAAAATACATATTTTTAAAAAGAATACCTTTGTGATTTAAGAATAGAAAGGGCCTCCTTGATTAAATTTTACAGGCACAAACCACAAAATGGATAAGTTCTATTGCATTGAAATTAAGAATTTCCTTCTAATGAAGAATATCAAGAATATAGCCCTAGCCGATTTGGCTCGGTGGATAAAGCGTCGGCCTGCGGACTGAAGGGTCGCAGGTTCGATTCCGGTCAAGGGCATGTACCTTGGTTGCAGGCACATCCCCAGTAGGGGGTGTGCAAGAGGCGCCTGACTGATGTTTCTCTCTCATTGATCTTTCTCCCTCTCTGTCCCTCTCCCTTCCTCTCTGTAAAGAATCAATAAAACATATTTTTTTAAAAAAGAATATAAGCAAATCATCACATGACGGAATGGGAGGATATATTTGCAAAGCTGAACAGTGTAGCTAGCTCACAAGGCCATTCAGAGTTAAATGGTTTAATAAATATAAAATTCTTAGAACAGTGCCTGCCTCTAAACATTATCTGTAATTGTTGAAACTGACAAGGGCTCTCTATCCCACTTCTATTCTGTAGAACTATGCAAGCACATATGTAATTATAAATTTTTTATTTTTAAATTATTTTTTATTGATTTTAGAGAGGAAGGGAGAGGGAATCATTGATTGGCTGCTTCCCGAAGACTCCCTACTGGGGATCAAGCCCACAACCCAGGCATGTGCCCTTGACCGAAATGGAACCTGGGACCCTTCAGTCTGCAGGCCGATGCTCTATCCACTGAGCCAAACCAGGTAGGGCAATTATAAATTTTTTAATATCCACATTAAAATAGTAAAAAATAAAATCAACAGTGAAATTAACTTGAGTAATACATTTAGTTTAGCCCAATACATCCATAGTGTTATATGTAGTCAGTATTAAAAAAGCAGTTAATGAGATATGATATTTTACATCCTCTTTTCTTTCCACTAAGCTATAGAAATCCGGTGTATATTTCACACTAACAGCACATCTCAGTTTATACCAACCACATTTCAAGTCCTCATGTTAGACAGCTCAGACTGGACAATGCAGATTTAAACTGTGTGAGGAACTCATGCAAACGAACAAGAAAAGATAGCAAGGTCAAGAGTGAACAGGGCAAAAGCTATGAACAGGTAATTTACATACGAGGAGAACCTGAAGGCTAATATGCAAATGAGGACATGCCCAAAATGGTTAGAAATTACAGCAATATAAAATAAAGCAATGGTGATAGCGTTTTACAGTGAGTCAGAGTGGCAAAATTTAGTGAGCTGGATAATGCCAACAGCTGGTGGAAATGTGGGGACAGGGGACCTTCCCATACTGCCAGTGGGTATGAGGGGGACAGCTAGTCTGAGGGGCCACAGCAGTTGAGTGTGCCCGGTGACCCAGCATCGCTGCATCCAGGCCTCTCTCCCGGGCAGATTTTTATCACGTCTCTAAAGGGCCATGTCCATGGCTATCCCTGTGGTGTGGGGAGCTGGAGGTTGCCTGGTGACCAACCGTGGGGGACAAATGAGTAAGATATGAAGGATGCCTGCCCAGCCAGTGTGGCTCAGTTGGTTGAGCATTGTATCATGCACCAAAGAGGTCACCGATTAATTCCCAGTCAGCGCACATGCCCAGGTTTCAGGCTCGATCCTCAGTAGGGGGTGTACAGGAGGTAGCTGATCAATGATTCTCTCTCATCATTGATGTTTCTATCTCTCCCTCTCCCTTCCTCTCTCTGAAATCAATAAAAAAATATTTAAAAATACTAGTGCATACCATATTATACTGTATATAAAATACCATATACATATTTTTTCTGAACCATTTGACAAGTTGCAGCCATCACAAATTGGCCACTAAATAAT